GCACTCTACCCAGGGGGACAGCTTGAGGTTCTGTCTCAAAAAAAAAAAAAAAAATAGTATCTGATTTTGTACATCCTAAGTCAGGAAGAATTTCATATTTTGTACCTTCTTTATGCTGAAAATGGGAGAGGGAGGAAAAACAAAAAAAAATCCTTGATTAAATTAAGTAATAATACCTTACAGAAACATTTGCTTCTATATTGTATCTGAAAAGTTTATGTTTAGTACATATTTTTATCTGACATATGTTCTTATCAGAAAACAGTGGACAAGGCTTGGTGCCTGCAGCTCAGTAGTTAGGGCACCAGTCATGTGCACCGGGGCTGGTGGGTTCGAACCTGGCCTAGGCCTGATAAAAGAACAATTACAATAACAAAAATAGCCGGGCATTGTGGCAGGTGCCTGTAGTCCCAGCTACTTGGGAGGCTGAGGCAAGAGAATCGCTTAAACCCAAGAGCTAGAGGTTTCTGTGAGCTATGACTTCATGGCACTCTCTACCAAGGGCAACATAGTAAGACTCTGTCTCAAAAAAAAAAAAAGTGGACAACTACTGGTAAATTCATGAATTTGTGTCATGTTTATTGTCATCACTAATGGTTTGTTTGAGCATTTTTTTTGTTATTGTACATGTCTGAAATAATGTAGTTAAATTTCGTATCTATATGTGAAATTTAGTTTCCTGGCAGAAACCAACCAAAATCTTGGTGTGTGTATCTAATGTGTGTAAACAACAGTTATAACTTAGACATTAAAATTAGTTCTGTGCTGGGAACGGCTGTGTTTGAAAAACACAACTGCAATAATCTAGTGGAAAGAGCTGAAAGACATGGGTGTAGACCCTATCTTCTCTGCTGAAGAGTTTTCTAGCCTCAAACAAGGTCTAAGTCTCAGTTTTCTCATCTACTAAATGGGTATGATATTTCTACCTATTCCTCAAGCTTATTGGAAACTCAGATGATGATGTGCTCATAACCAAGGTATGTGAGTACGATGATGATTCTGCTGCTTAGTTTTTTCAGGTTTTCAATGTAGTCAATATATGTATTTATCATTTGTAGGTAGAAGCATGTGCCACCAAGCTTGCTTTTGATTTGAATAAACTGAATATATGTGTGTATATATATGGAAAATAAATATATTCCTAATATTTACCTTGCTAAAAGAAACCTTGAACATTTTTAAATTAGCTTTTTAAAAGAGGACCTGTCGTCTGTCCTCGTGGAATCTATGTTTATGTCTTATCCAGATTTTCACTTTCACCAAAAAAGTGAAGAGTCTGTACCTTTATTATTATATAAAGTGTAGAGTGGTGGGACGCGCACTTAGCCGGGTCTGTAGACTCACGCAAGGGCGAGTCCCCAGACAGTGGTGAGTTTCGGTTTTCTCGCTGATAAAGTCAAGGCCATGACCTGCCTCCAGGGACGCTTCGAGGCTTCCCGAAGCAATGTCTCCACGGACTTTCCTCACTGTGTTTCTTTGCAGATGCAGTTACACACATACGAGAACATTTTACTTAATAAAGATGCAAGTTTGCAGAAGGTTGGTACCGTTCTTTCCATAAAAGCCTGTGGTCTTGGCTATTTCTCTCCAGATCATAAAGAAGATGGTCATTTGTGTAATTTGATCCTACAACACATCTGATGCTAGTATCGTGTCAGTTTCCTTTACAGTATCTCACCAAAATGTTCTTCTGAGCGAGGAGTAAGTCTGAACATATTCTCTCTAAGTCCCCGTGGTGTTCAGCTACATGTGCCACAAATATCAGCGTGCCAGTCTACCTGTCACTGGCTAGATACTAGTGACGTAGTTTTAATTTATAGGAGTACAAATGCAGCCATTCGTTTGGGGGAAGAAGAATATATACACAAATTATTTGCTACCTTATTTTATCGACTTATAGACACATAGATATTCTATTTATTCTTACATCTTATGATCATAGCCTATCTGGCAACAAAAGATGCTGGCTACAGAGATGCTGATGATAGTGGCTTTAAGCGACAGGGAAGAATACCATCTAATTTAACATACTTCTCAGTCTAAGACTGGGAAGGGAGGAAAGTGGTATCTGCCACTCTTCTTTTCCCTGCATGTTGTGAAGTTTCAAAGGAAACATTCACAGCTTGCAGACTCTGACCAGGATACTGAATATTGCACTAACTTTTATTTCTTTATTTTTCTCTAAAAGCTTCCATGGTTTAATATACCAAGTTTATCTATTCATGATGGGTGTTCTCTGAGTAGTGATATTGTCAGAAGGGGGGCTACTTAGCTCCTCCCTAACCCTGGGCTTCCCACCATTCTGCACTCCTGCCCAGGATCCATTAGGTATTGACTGAACACCTACCATGCTTGTCACAGAATAAAATTATGGAGCAGGGCTGGGTGCAATGGCTCATACTTATAATCCCAGCACTCTGGGAGGCTGAGGTGGAAGGATCCATTAAGTTCAGGAGTTTAAGACCAGCCTGAGCAAAAGCAAAACCTGAGTCTCTACTAAAAATAGAAAAATCAGGCATTGTGGCAAGCACCTGTAGTCCCAGCTACTCAGGAGGTTGAGGCAGGAGGATTACTTGAGCCCAGGAGTTTGAGGTTGTTGTGAGCTAGGCTGATGCCATGGCACTCTAGACTGGGTAACAGAGCCAGACTCTTGTCTCAATAATAATAACAAAAAATTATAGATCAGGGGTGGGTACAATGGCTTACGTCCATAATCTCAGCATTTTGTGAGATCTTTGGGAGGCCAAGAAAGGAGGACTGCCTGAGGCTAGGGGTTTGAGACCAGGCTGAGCAATACAGCAATACTCTACCACTATAAAAAGTAAAAATAATAATAAAGGATCTTAGCTCTTTAAAAAGAATAGATCAGACTCTCACTACCTGTACCTTCTGGCCTTACAGCATAAAACAATAATTTTAAGGAGGTATCCAGAACTGGATGAGATTGAATGTCTTTATTTCATTGGTCATTGGCAAGTAAAGACTGATTTTTTTTTCTTAAATGCTTTGTGTTAATTTTAATCTGTGCTTAAGAAGTAGTTTGATTCTATTGGACCAAACAAACACAGAACACAAAGGCACCAATTAAATATTGGTACATAGTTCTATACTTCTTGTGTGTTTTGACTTTCAACCACTGGTTCAGTTTTCAAATAGAGAAATTGATAAACAATCTCACGATAATTTAGTATTTATAATTCTCTGGTTCACATTGATAGTCTAACGTGATTTGGTAGACACATTGCTTTTTCCTACTATTCATTTCTCTCTACTTTTCAGAAGGATTTACGTATAGAAGAACTTAAGTCAACCATCATAGAATGTGGAAGCATTATAGAGGTATACCTATTATTAATTATTATTCTTACTAATCTTACAGCTTGCATGGTGGGCTTGTTCAAGGTAAATGTAAATTCCCCACTACAGTAACATGTACAGCCTTAATGTTGTGTGTGATTCCAGAATTTACGAGGTGATAAAAATAAATTGGCTCAAGAATTACAGCACTTGCAACAGGAGCTCATCGTGTGAGTACAGTGCAGCCCCTCCCAGCGCCCCCCCAACCTGTTCTCTGTTATGGGCCAACAGAGCTGGGTGCACTTCCTTCTAAGTGCCACGTTCTTTTCTTCTGTACTATCACACACGGTATTTTCTCTTCCTTTGTCCATGAGAACGCCTCTATGAGTTTTCTGTGACCCTCCCAGATGGTCTCAGTTTGGTGTGCTGTGAGTAAGTACCATGAACTGGGTGGCTTCCACACCAGACATTTATTTCTCACAGTTCTGGGGGCTGGATGTCCCAATCAGGGAACCAACAGCATTGGTGAGAGCCCTCTCCCGGGTTACAGACTGCTGTCTTCTCCTTGTATGTTTGCAGAGACTAGCTAATCCTTTGGTCTCTTCTGGTAAGGACCCTAATCCCATTCATGAGGGCTCTACCCTAATAGCCTAATTACCTTCCAAGGGCTCCATCTCTAGATATCATCATATTGAGGTTAGGATTTCAACATATGCATCTGGGGGTGAGTGCAAACATTCAATTCATGGCATTGACTTTCCCTTGCTCTTCCCTTACCTTGAGATTAAATAACCCTTTTGAATATAAGTATGGCACATTGTTCTTACCTCTTGCTTAATACATACCACCTTTATTACAAATACTCATTTCCAATTGTGTATGATGTGCTGGTCCAGGGTCTGCAGGAGTCACTCGGGTAACAAAAATGAGTAAATCCAATAGAGTATGCACACACCTAC